GATAACTGCCTCAGAAACCCAAGGAGGGGTCACTGTGAGTTGGGACTGACTCGACAGCAGTGAGTTTGGTTTGGTTTGGGTTAATTTTCTAATAACATCACTCAGAAAATCAGTGGAAATTCAATTCTTCAAGAGCAGATGCTTCAGTGGCCCTTCCTCCCTACCTCCCACTGCTACTCTGGCCATTTGTTTGGCAAAGTGTCCGTTTCTTTTCACAGTTCCTTTGGGTGTAGAAGCAAAAGCAGATCTACTGGAGTGGGCGTGGGTTGAACTTGCTGTTGACCAAACCGTAGATGTTGTGGTCTCTATGATATATACTCCTGGAGAGTTTTATTGCCATGTACTTAAGGAGGATGGTAAGTTGACTCTTCTCATTTGTTTCTTTTCGTAAATACATTGGCATAAATACTAAGTTAAGATTAAGATGAGTTTGTTACTGACTGATAAAAGCACTCTCTTCAAGAAAGGCCAAGTGGGTATTGGTACCTCCAAGAAAGGTTTAGTTCTGTTTTAAGTCAAGTCATTATTTCTACTTCCAATCTCTCTTTATATTTCAATTAGTTTAGATTTCACAAAATGTCTTGTAAATTCCATTTCTGAAAATTAAGTTGTTAATTTTATTGAAATATAACATACAGAGAGATAAGTGCACAAACAAGTGTGTGGTGTAGTGAATTATCACAAAGTCAACACACTCTTATAACCAGCATCTAGGTCAAGAAATAAAGCCTCACCGATATCCCAGAAGTTTCTTCACGTCTCCTTTGATCTCTGCCCTTTCCTTCTCTCAGAAATAAACACTATCCTGCCTTCTAACAGAATAAATCCATTTTTCCTGGTTTTGAACTTTGTATAAATGGAGGCCTACAACATGTCCCCTTCTGTGCCTTGCTGTTTTTCCTCTTCCCATTGTTTGTGAGATTGAGCCATTGTTTCTCCATGTGGCTGTAGCTTACTCTCTTTGTTGCTGCATAGTCTTCCATTGTGTGAACATACCACAACCCATTACTCCTTTCTACTGTTGGTCATTTGGGTTGTTTCCTATCTGGAGCTTTAAAATGATGTTGCTGTGGACATGCCTAGTCAGACCTGGTGCACATGTGTGTGCACTCCCATCAGGTGTGTACCTAGGAGTGAAATTGTAGGGTTGGAAAGGGTATTGAGAGCTCTGGTGGTACAGCAGTGTTGGAAACTCACTTGGTGCCAACTGAAAGGTTGGTGCTTCGAAGCCATCTGGCTGCTCTGTGGGAAAAAAGACCTGGCAGTCTGCTTC